GAGGCAGTAGATCTCATTGCCCATCTTCACATGGGACAGCTGGTAGATGTGAACCACGTGTCCTTGCGATTGCAGCATAGATCTTTACCAGAACTCCCTGCATGGCATTTACACCCTTGTAAAAAGAGCAAGGAAAGACCACATGGGAATGGCCATAATATGATCACTACTCACAAAGGGGAATTGTTCCAGTCAACAATATCCTTAGCACAAAACATCAGATGGTCAGGAATGTCCCCCATGCTCCTACAGCCCTTTCTAATCATCCTAACACCAAATCATACTGCTCTACTGGGTCAGAAGTCCATTCCAGTAGCTCACAGACCACACAGAACCATATTACAGAAGTAAAGAAGCTGTAATTTAAGTTGGCAGTCAGGACAGCTTCTGAAGTGTGTTGACAGGCACCTTAGCCTTGAGCCTTGCAGCTATAGGCCAGTCTTGCAAAGCTCTTAGTCCTGCCAATTATGGCTTTCCTCCCCAGCCTTCCAGCACTTGGGCAAAGGCATTAAGCTTTGGTTCTGTGGGACAGCTGTCCCAGGATCAGTTCTGCCTCACGCTGAGTCTCTGGTTCTCTGCTGCATTTGCTGCTGCTCTTCTGTAGGGTCTGGCTGACACAAGAATCTCTGGCCCCGAACAGCACATTGCATTCTCTTGCTCCTGCTTTGCTGATGGTGAGATTCTCAAAGTCTCCTGATAAATCCTTTCAATTTAATGGCAAAACTAGCCAATCCCCTTGTAGATAGATTTAACACACTCTATTTTCATATTCCCACCCATCCACAACGGCAAACTCAAAATCAATGGTGAGGAAAGACATTTTGAACAATAAACCCTTAACACCACAACCCTGCAGTGGACTTATTGCACCTACAGCACCAAAAAGGCTCAATGGCCAAACGAAAACCCCCTCTCTCCACTCAAAGGGTTTTTGTTGTTGTTGTTGTTCTGTTGGGTCAGAACTGACTCATGGCTGACCCTCCAGCAAGTTTTCAGAGGCAATCAATCATACAGGAGGAGACTACCCAACTTTCTCCCAAGGAGCAGTTAGTGGATTCGAACCACATTCCCTTAGGTTGGTAGCATGTCTTACCACTATGCCACTAGAGCTTGAAGGGTAGAGGCCAGAATTCCACACTTAAGAGTTTTAACTTTATCCCTGTATATCAACTTTTGTCTTTATTCCTGTATTGTTAGAATTGTTAGACCCTTAGCATTTCAGAAGATGCAAATCATGGACTTGTAAGAAAAGTGAGCACCTGAGAGATGACCTCAAGTTTCTTCACTCAGGATTCAGGTCCACACAAGGCAGCAGGCACTGCTGGACTTTCCTGCCATTGTGTCCACCTGTGGAGAGACTTCTTGCTGGGAGAAGCTGCATTGCCACAGACTTCTGGAAACACTGAGGCATGGTCTCCCTGCCCAGGCCACCCTCTCCTCTCTCCACTTCAGCCCCCAGTGAAACATCTGTTTTCTGTTCTCTGTTGGGAACAGCTTGTCCTGAAAGCCTGGGACAGTTTATAGGGAGGTGCTTTGCTGGGCTGTGCTATGTTCCAAACCAACTGTACTCATTAAGCCCACAGATTCCCCACTTGCTTCACTTTGAAAGAATAATAACTAGTGTGGCTTTTTTACTCAGTACCAGAAAACTCCATCTCTCTTTTTTTAAATAGTTCTTAATATTGTCCTATGTGATGATACTTTTTTAAAAAAATAGCAAAACTCTTAAAAATGTATTATGTATAGATGATAAAAATTTACTAAGTTTAAATGTACAGTCTCATTAATGCTAGTAAGTTTAGACAATCACATGGCCACCACTACCAGCATGTAAGCAGCACACCCAAATAAGTCCCTGGTGTCCTTCCCAGTGTGGTCAGCCTTCCGCCAACCACAGACAACCACAGATCTGATCTACTGGCTGTGGACATCTGTCACCGTAATTTCTCCTTTTCTAGCAACAACAGGAATGAAATCATGCCATTTGTAGTCACCTCTGCTTGCCTTATTTTACTCAGAATAAGGTTTTTAAGATTCATCCATGTTACTACATATATTAGCATTTTGTTCCACTTGACTGCTGGGAAATACTTCATAGCATAGATAACAAACTACAAGTTGGACTCCATTCACTGATTGATAGACATTTCACTTCTAGTTTGGGGTGATTGGTTATTCATAAAACCTGCATGGAGAATTCACATTGCATATCTTTTTGTGGACATGTTTTTCTTTAATTTATAGCTAGGAATGAAGTTTGTGATTCATATGGTGTGTGTTTAACTTTGTAAGATAGATTTCTTTTTTTCCCTAAAGTAGTTTTACCACTTTGCATTTTTACAAGCTAGGTATGAAAGTTCCAGTTGTTTTCACATCTTCAGTAACACTTGGATCTGTCAATTTTTTTTTATTTTCATTTTAGCTATTCTAGTGAGTGTATAGTGGTATCACCTTGTGGTTTTAATTTGCATTTCTCTGATCACTAGTGATGTTGAGCATCCTTACGTGAACTTCTTTTCATCAGTATAACTCCTCTTGTATTTTTTCCTAATCCTTTGCCCAGTTTTTAATTAAGTTGCATATCTTACTGTTAGGTGTTGTAAGAGTTCTTTATGTATTCTGGATACAAGCCATTTTCCCCCATAGGCTTATCCTTGATAAGAGATAGGAAGGTGGTTGAAGAAGAGCCCTGTTGCTGTGCTGCTTCCTCATTGGGCAAATTCCTAACCCTTTATGAGCCTCAGTTTCTTCATTAGTAAAAGGGGGGTGGTGGAAATCTACCCTCTTTACCCCACAGAAATTGTTAGGGAGCCCAAGAGAAATTAAAACCACTCCAGTATTTTGTCACCCCTTCAGACATACAAACAAGTTAGCAGAATTGTCAGATTGCATTGCACACCTGAGTTCCTGTGTCTCACCTGGAAGGAAAGGAGGTGCAAAGCAGTCATGCCTCAGTTCAGGGCAGGTTGCTGGAAAAGGAAGGGTATGTTTGGGAATTGTGAGAGAGGCCCCATGAGTTTCAGAGTGAGGGAGACGTTCACTCAAATGGTGTGTTCAAACTGTCTGCTCTGTGCTGGACATTTCTGTTGGCCCTGAGAACATGCCTGTGACCCTCAGAGAGTGCCCAAATGCCAAGCTCACTAGCTCAGTGAACACAAGGGCTCTGGAAGGTGCATTGGCCTGTGGCAGTCCCAGTCTGGTCACTTTGCCTGACCTTGAGTGCTTTGTTGTTGTTGTTGTGTGCCATCAAGTCGAGTATGACTAATAGTGACCCTATGAATAGCAGATCTGAACCCCATTCTATTCTCTGCCATCTTCACACTTCCTGACACACTAGGGCCTGTTGTGCAGTCACCATATCAGTCTACCTGGTTAAGGGTCTTCCTCTCCTTTGCCAACCCTCCACCCTTCTAAGCATCATGTCCCTTTATAAAAGCCCCTCCTAGTGACATGCCCAAAGTATAAGGGGTGAAGCCACATCATCGTTGCCTCCAAAGAGCACTCTAGCTGCACCCTCTTCAAGACTGATTGTTTTCTTTGCAGTCTGTGGGATGTTTAGTGCTCTTCTGCAGCTCAAAGGCATCAATTCTTCTTCTGTCATCCCTATTCATTTTCCAACTCTCAGATGCATAGCAGGTGATTGGAAAGGCCATTGCCTGAATCAGATATCCTTTAGAGAAGAATTGAGGTAAAAAAGGAAGGTAACAGCAGATGGTCTAAATCTGCGCCTGATACAGTCCATGGTCTTTGTCATCACTTGCTATGCGTCAGAGAGCTAGACAGTGACCAGGGATGATAGAAGGAGAATCTATGCCTTTGAGCTGTGGTGTTGGAGAAGAGTATTAAATATACCATGGAGTGCTAAGAGAATGAACAGGTTTGTCCGGGAGAGGGTTAAATCAGGCTGCTCCTTGGAGGCAAGGATTCTGAAGCTTCATCTGATGTACTTTGGACATGTTGCATGAAGGGACCAGTCCTTGGAGAGGGACGTCATGCTTAGGAGGGTGGAGGGGCAGCACAGGAGAGGGAGACCCTCTACAAGGTGGACTAATTCAGTGACTAGAGTAGTGGGGGTAGGTGTGTTGGAGACAGTAAGATTGGCACAGGACAGAGCAGGTTTTAGGGCTGTTGTACATAGGGTCGCTGTGAATCTCAGGTGACTTGACAGCACATAACAACATCACCTCTAAAACCTCTAAATCGCTTCAAAGCTTAAAAACTTCTCCAGCACAGTTTCCTGGAACATTATTGTTGAGTCAGAAACATCTTATTGCTGACCCTCTAGCAGGTTTTTAGAGGCTGTAAATCAACTTGGGAGTAGATTCCCCATCTTTCTCCCGTAGGGTAGCTTGTGGATTCGAACTGTCTGCCTTTGAGTTGGCAGCAAAACTCCTTTCCTTTCCTGGAACATAGCTCTACTAATATCAGCAATTTTTAAATAGTTGTCCAAAATTCAGTTACAAAGTATTTCTCATGTATTTTACATTTTACTTGGTCCTCACAAATGACATGATCAAGGTACAGCAACAACACAAATGAAATTATCAAAGTAAGAGGTACTTACAGGAGAGTAAACTGAGGCTTGCCCAAGGTCACACAACTAGAACTGATAATAAGTATTCTTTTTAAGAGTAAACTTTTAAACAAGACGTTTTATAGCTGTCAATTATTTTCCCAGCTGTCTCATGTTCTTTTGGCAAGGGGAGGGTTTCATTTGTCCAGTGAAGACCAGAGAGGTAAGCGGGCTGAGGCCTTCTGACACCCAGGCCTTGACCTTCTGCAGAGAACTCACCTTCTAATCACTTAATTCCATGTCACTGTGAGGCTCCATGGAGCAGACAACCATCATAGGCTTAGAACTCCAAGGAGATCATGGAAGCCTTGCTGAACATCTGGTGTACCAACCCAGTTGGTGCCTGCCCTGTTGGATCCCGGCCTTCTGTTCTAGTAGTTGCCATGGGGATCCCAATAATACTCAGTTACATAATTCTTGTTTTCAGGACCACCCTGACCTGACTGAGGTTGAAGTTGGGTGCCCCTTTGCTGACATTGGCTGCTCCTTCAAGGTAACCATCAGAATCTAAGAAAGATCTTTCTACTAAGGTCAGACTTATAAAACTCTTCATTCCTGCCCTTCCAGGATTTTCTCATGTCAGATTACTCCTCTGGATATTCCCAAGCAGGAAATCCTTCTGTTAAATCTTCTTGGTACTCTGGGAAGTTCTTCTTAGGGTCTTGTCTGAGCTTTGGTATCTCATTGCTATTGTTAGGTACTACGGAATTTATTTAAATTCATAGCACCCTCATGTGACAGATGCAACTTCCTCACACAGTTTTCTTAGTGGTGATCTTTGTAGAAAGAGATGGCTAGGTTTTTCTCTCACAGAGCCCTTGGATCAAACTGCCACCTTTTCATGTAGCAACCAAGCACTTAAGCATCTGTACCACCAGTGCTCCAAAATTACCCCTGTGCCTCTCTCTGTGGTCCTGAACCACCATTGTCCTCAAGGGCAGGGCAAAGTCCAGCTCTGGAGGCTGGGATGCCTGTGGCTTCTGACAGGTGAGTGGGAGTTCTCCCCTTTGCTGAGTCAGTGGGCCTAACCATCTTTAAAGACCTCTAGTGCAGTGTTTTCCACTGTTCCTCACTTTCTCAGTTTTCACTCACCATCTCTACTTTCTCTGCAGGGAACCCCAAAGTCTCTGCAAGAGCATGAGGCTGCTTCCCAGACCTCCCACCTAAACCTGCTTTTGGACTTCATGAAACAAAGGAAGACCCCATTGGACTCAGGGCAGGAGTCTGGACCCCAGGTCCTGGAGCGGAACCTGTCAGACCTGCAGCTGCAAGCAGCCGTGGAGGTGGCCGGGGACTTGGAAGTGGACTGCTACCGGGCACCCTGCTCTGAGGGCCAGGAAGAGCTGGCCTTACAACACTTCATGAAGGAGAAGCTCCTAGCCGAGCTGGAGGAGAAGCTGCGTGTGTTTGAGAACATTGTTGCTGTCCTAAACAAGGAGGTCGAAGCCTCCCACCTGGCCCTGGCTGCCTCCGTCCACCAGAGCCAGCTAGACTGCGAGCGCATCCTAAGCTTGGAACAGAGGGTGAGCGCAGGAGGCATGTTGACCTTCAGGGCCTGTTCAGGGATTCTCCTTTGTCCCATTTTATCCAGAGTACTGGGCCAATCTTACTCCTTAAAAGCTCTACCAGGTTAAAGTATTCACTGCCCCCATCCAATCTTCTCCCTCCTTGGAAAGCACTTTCAGACTTTATAGTCAAGAGTCAGACTTTATAGTCAAGGTCACACACACATCCAGCACTTCAGCTCCTTTTTCTTAAACTTCTCCCACAAGAGGACATTCCCTCCCCTGGCAGCTCACTCCACTATTGACATTTTTCACTGTTAGAAAGTTATTCCTTATACTAATTTAAAATCTGCCTCCCTGCATCTTCCTTGCTTTGTTCCTGGTCTTGTCTCTCAAGGCACCAAACAAATCTACCTTCTAGTCCCCCTGGCAGCCCTTGTAGGGTGGACAAATCAGGCTCACACCCTGTACCTTGACCCTTTTTTCAGAGCACACTGTTTGATGCTGTCTCATCTGCTCTGATTAGGTATCTAGGAGTGTGGTCCAAATGATACACCACACTTCTTTTTTTTTTTTAGATTTTCACAAAAGTTTACCAAGAACTTGGATTTCCATTCATTCATTGTTACACATTTTCTTCCCAACCCACCACCCAGTTCGCTTTTCTCTTTAAAAAAAAAATATTTCATTATTGCATAGTTTTCTCCTCCCATCCTCAGTCCACTTTGCTATGCACCTCTTGTTCTGGACTGTGGTCATGCAAATAATATCTAATCATATATTCCTTTTAAACAGTTCTTTCCCTCATCTGTTTCAAAGCAGTGTACATTATTTATCCCCTCTTTTCTTAGTTTCCCCCCACTCCCATGTCAGTCCTGTTTTATAACAGTGTCATTATGCAGTATTTGTCTTTTTGTGACTGAGATATTTCATTCAACATAACGAAACTAGAACTGCCACCCCAACAGATATATGTATGCATATGTTTATTGCTGCATTATTCACAATAACAAAGAGATGGAAACAACTCAAGTGCCCATCAACAAACACATAGATAAAGAAGCTGTGGTATATTCATGCAGTGGAATACTACACAGTACTGAAAATGGGGAACTCATAAAATATTTTCCACTACGGTTCTTGGTTGAATAGGACTATCTCTCTCATTCTCCTGAGCTTTTCTTTTTATTAACATAGCCAGTCCTCATGCTGGTGTTAGTCTTTTATAGCAACATTACATCACTGTCTCATAGTGAGCTGAGCCTGGAGTTTGGTTCCAGCACTGCAATTGATTGACCCTATAAGTCTGAGCTCTGGTGGTGGTGTCATGGGCAGATGAGATGCATCCCAAAAGCTGCTCCTCTCTGGCAGTTTGAATCAGCTGCCCAGAAGAAAGATGGTGGGTCTATGCCTGTGCAATTGACAGCCTTTGAAAACCCACTGCAGGGTCAGCTGTGAGAGTCTGTTCTGACTCAATGGTAATGAGTTGTGTTTGTCATTAGTTGTTCTTTCTTTTTAGATATAAGTCAGAGCAAGTCACTCCCTCTCAGGGCATTAGCATTCCCATCAGCAAAAGTTGTGTTGTTGTTATGTGACATCACGTCGCCTTCAACTCATAGTGATCCTAGGTACAATAGCTCTGAACCCTGCCTTATCCTGAAGCAGTCTCACTAGCCCTTCTCCCATTATCCCAGTTACTGTACCAATCCATCTCATCTTGGGTCTTCCTCTCCTGTGCTGTCCCTCCACCCTTCTAAGCATGATGGCTTTCTCCAAGGACTGGTCCCTGCTGACCATGTGCCCCAAGTATGTGAGATGGACTAGAGGTTAAATTCTCTTTAAGGACTTCCATTCCTGACTTCCCTACCTGAGCACTTCTAGGAACACATTTGTAACTGAAGCTTCACTGGGGAACTACCCAGAAGGCTGGGTGCTGCATTTGAGTGACTAAGAAAAGCCTTTATTTATGTGTCTCTTGCCCCAGTTAGAAGAGAGGCTTCCTGAGGGTAGTGACTGTTCATTTTACCAATAGGCTTCCTACGTCTTCTCTTATATACCAGGCATTATGCAAAACTTGGACAGAGAAGAAATGAGCATGAGCCCAGCCCTCAGTCGTAGATCTAGGAGACAACCTGGCAGAAAAGTGTCCTCATAAAACCATGCTGAAGGCTCTGCAAAATAATTGATCTAAAACAGTGGTTGAAGCCCCACAGGAAGGGCTTTAAGAGGTGGAGTCCTGACATAAGTAGGAAGTCATAAGTGGCAAAAAGAACAAAAGAAATTCCAGGCAGATGGTAGGTACAGCACAGGCTAAGGCAAAGGCACATATGTGGAGTGGCATGGTCAGGAAGGCATATTTTGAACAAATCTGTCTACCTATTTACTATCCATAGCCTGCTCTGAAGTTGGTTGCTGGCTGCTATGACCTTGGCTGAATAAATGTCCCTGCAGGTGGTGGAGCTGCAGCAGACCCTTGCTCAGAAAGACCAGGCCCTGAACAAGCTGGAACAGAGTCTCCACATCATGGAGGAGGCCTCCTTTGATGGCACTTTCCTGTGGAAGATTACCAATGTCACCCGGAGGTGCCACGAGTCAGCCTGTGGCCGGACCATCAGCCTCTTCTCCCCAGGTAACACCTTCTCTGGGACACAGAGACCCTGTACTTATTGTGTCTTAGTGAACTGGTGGGTCAAGAAAGCAGGATGGTTTTAATGACCCTGCTCATACTCTATACCTTTTAATTCAACCTTCTTAAATGCATGGAGGCAAGCAGGGCTAGAATGAGGTCCACCCCTCACCTCTCTTCTTTCTTAAAAGGGTAAATAAAGGGGAAGCAATGCTTCTTGTTTCTTCTCCTAAAAAATAAGGGGCAGAGATGGATGAGTCAGATAGTCAGCCTAACTCCCCCTCGACCCTAGAGGAGCTCATGATAATAGCCACTGGAGCCACCATTAGGATAATCCTCTCTGCTGCCTAGAGAGAGCCCAAAGGACTCTGTGCTTAATCATCAGGGGGTGTTTTAGTCCCTGCAGCCTATGCAGAGGATGGCCAGAAAACTGAGTGGCCCTGCTCTCTACCAGTTTCCAGAGGACGCCAGCCAGTTAGTACAGGACAGCAGGAGGAAAGGGAAAACGACCTTGGTGGGAAGTAGAATATCTTTCCTCCGACAAATTGTAAGACCTTGACCAGCCACCCCTCCTCTCTGTACTTGGTTTGCCAACTGTAAAATGCAGGTTAGGCTAGATACAACCAAGCAACCACTACCATCAAGTCAGTTCTGACTCACAGTGACCCTATAGGACAGAGTTGTTGTTGTTGTTGTTGTTGTTATGTGCCATCAAGTCACTTGCAACTCATAGTGACCCTATGTACAACAGCCCTAAACTCTGCTCTGTCCTGTGCCAATCGCACTGTCTCCAATACACCCATCCCGATTACCCCAGTCACTGAATCAATCTATCTCATAGAGGCCCTTCCTCTCCTGTGCTGTCCCTCTACCCTCCCAAGCATGATGTCCCTCTCGAAGGACCTGTCCCTCCTTACAACATGTCCAAAGTATGTTAGATAGAGCCTCAGAATCCTTGCCTCCAAGGAGCCACCAGGTTTAACTCTCTCCAGGATGAATCTGTTTGTTTTCTTGTCAGTCCATGGTACATTCAGTACTCTTCTCCAGCACCACAGCTCAAAGGTGTCAATCCTCCTTCTATCTTTCCTAGTCATTGTCCAACTCTCTAACGCATAACAAGTGATTGCAAAGACCATAGCCTATATCAGACGCACCTTAGTCTCCAGAGAGACACCATTGCTCTTCAGTACTTTGGAGAGGTCCTTCACAGCAGACTTTCCCATCACAATATGTCTTAATTTCCTGACTACTGGTGCCAAGAGTGTTGACTGTGGAGACAAGCAAACTAAAGCTGTGAACAATCTCAATCTCTGCACCATCCAGGACAGAGTAGGATTACCAAAACTTAAATCTTTACAAGCACAGACTATCTCGACTTCCTTCTGAGGAACAACCAGTAGGTCTCCACCAGCAGCCTTTCAGTTAACAGCCCAATGCTTAACCCACTGCACCATCAGGGCTTCTTTAGTTTAGATTAATTTGTTAGAACTAGCATTGCCAGCCTACTCTGTGATCTTGTCAGAAATGCACATTTGCAGTTCTCACCTCAGTTCTACAGAATCAAACGTTTTGGGGCTTTAATAAGCCCCCATGAGTTTCTGAAGGCCACTTGACTTCTGCTGGACTGGATGATATTCAAAGATATGGTTCAGTTTTACTCTGTAGTAGAAAAGAAAATCAGGTTCTAACCCTAGCTTTCTGAGTTTTGAGTTGTTGGCCTTGGACACATGTATCTAACCACTGGGATCCAGTTACCTTATCTGTGCACTCCAACTGCCTCTGCTGACTCTGGCTTCCATATTTCAGCTTTCTACACTGCCAAGTATGGCTACAAGTTGTGTCTACGGCTCTACCTAAATGGAGATGGGGTAGGAAAGAGGACCCACCTATCACTCTTCATTGTCATCATGAGAGGAGAGTATGATGCCCTGTTGCCCTGGCCTTTCCGGAACAAGGTACAGATCTGCCCTGTTGGGGATGATGGTTTGGGGTAGAAGAGCAGGGAAACCTGGCATCTCCTTGAATTAGTTGTATTTCCTAGAACAAACCCTTTCTCTCTCCTTCATTACTAGTTTTCTCTTTTATAAAATGAGGGACTGAATCCAGATTTCCCTCTTGCACATTTCTAGCTACAGTACAGCACAGCACTTGTCTGTCAGTCTGCTGTACTGGTGTTGCTTGTGGGTACTGGTGTTGCTTGTGGCATGCTCTGGTGCTGAAATACATGCTACCCATGTCTCAGATACCAGAGATCTTACCCATGGTGGAGAGGTTGCAACAGAGCTCCTAGATTAAAACAGGAAGAAGGATTGGCCATCTTCTAATGAAACATCAGGCTTCCAAAAACAGTATAAACAGAAGAATATGGGTGGGTATAGTATTAGACCTAGAGCCAAAATAGAAAGTCACCCAGAATGAGTAGAAATAGCTGCAAACGACCATTAATGTTAGTAATTGGGACATCAAATGTACAAAGTATGAATGTAGGAAAAATGGAAGTTGAAAATGAAAGGGAGGGAAAGCTCTGGTAGCCTAGTGGCAAGAAGCTATGCTGCAATCCCTAAGGCACGCAGTTCGAATCCACAGATGCTCTGTCAGAGAAGGAGGGACAGTCTCCTCTGTGCCAGTTGGATCCAACTCAGTGGTACCCAATAAGGAAAGAAATTAAAAAAAAAAAGAAATGGAACACATGAAGATTGACACTGTAGGCAACAGTGAACTGAGATAGACAAGTATGGGCCACTTTGAATCAGACAATCACAGGATCTACCATGATGAGAAGGAAAAATTAAAGAATGGTGTTGCTTTCATAGTTAAAAAGGCAATTTCAAGATCCGTCCTGAAGAACAATGCTGTGAGTGATAGGACACGATCAATATGCATACTAGAATGACCTGTTAATATGACTATTATTCAAATATAGACACCAACAACTAAAGACAAAGAAGAGGAGACTGAGGGTTTCTACCAAGTTTTGTAGTCTGAAATTGACCAAACATGCAGTCACGATGCATTAATAATTTTTGGTGACTGGAATGCAAAAGTTAAAAACAGTAAGGAAATAACAGTAGTCAGAAAGTATGGACTTGATGACAAAAATGAGGCTAGAGATCAAATAATTGAATTTTATGCATTCAATGATTTACTCATAGCAAATACCTTTTTTAAAAAACACAGTAACTTTACACATGGACCTCACCTGATGGATTGCACAGGAATCAGATTGACAATATTTGCAGTTAGAGAAACACATTATCTGCGGTCAAAACCAGAGCAGGTGCTGATTATGGAACAGGCCATCAGTTACTCATGTGCAAGGTTAAACTGAAGTTGAATAAAATGAAAATTAGTCAGCAGGAACCAAAATACAACCTTGAGTCTATCCTTGATGAATTTAAGAATCAACTCAAGAACAGATTTATGACACTAAACACTAATTATCAAAGACCAGAAGAACTTGGAAGTACTTCAAAGATATCATCCATCAAGAGAACAAGGAGGAGGAGAAAAAAAGAAAACCAAAAATGGATGTTAGAAGATACTATGAAAATTGCATTAGAGCATCTAAAAGCCAAAATAAAAGGAATGCTGAAGTAAAAGAGCCGAACAGAAGATTTCAGAGGGCAGCTCAAGAAGATGAAATATTTTAACAAAATGTTCAGAGAGCTGGAGTCAGAATAAAAAGGAAGGCACTCACCAACAATTCCCAAAACTAAAAAAAAAAAAATTCAAGCTTCAAGCTGCAATACTTGAAGATGCTATGGGCACAATCTTGAATGATATGGGAAGCATCAAAAGAAGAAGAAAGGAATACAAAAATAATTATACCAAAAATAATTAGTTCACACCAAAAATTTTTAGGGAATACCATAGGAACAAGAGCCAGTGGTAATAAAGGATGAAGTTCAAGCCGCACTGAAGACATTAGCAAAAGCATACGGTTCCAGGAATTGATGGAATATACCAATTGACATGTTTCAATTAACAGACGCAGCCCTGGATATATTTACCAATTTATGCCAGGAAATTTGGAGGACAGCTACCTCGCCAGCTGATTGGAAGAGATCTACATTTGTCCCCATTCCCAAGAAAAAGTGATCCAACAGAATGCGGAAATTATCAAACAATATCATTAATATCTCATGCAAGCAAAATATTGTTGAAAATCACTTTAAAATGGCTAGAAGAGTATATTGACAGGGGACTAACCAGATGTTCAAGCTGGCTGTTGAAGATGCTGCAGTACTAGGAATATCATTGCCGATGTAAGATGAAAACTTGCTAAAAGCAAAGAATACCAGAAGAATGTCTGTTGGTGTTTTATTGATTATGCAAAGGCATATGACTGTATGTATCATAACAAATTATGGCTAAAATTGAGAAGAATGAGAATCCCAGACCACTTACTTGTGCTGATACAAAATCTTTACCTAGACCAAGAGGCTGTTGTCCCAACGAAGCAAAGGAACACAGCATGGTTTAAAATCAGAAAGGGTGTAAAACAGGGTTGTATCCTTTTGCCATACCTATTCAATCTGTATACTTAGCAAATAATTCACAAAGCTTGACCCTATGAAGAAGAATGTGGCATCGAGATTGGAAGAAGATTCAGCAACAGTCTGCATTACGCAGATGATGCAATTCTGTTTGCTATAAATGAGGAGGATATGAAACACTTGCTGCAGAAGATCAAAGACTATACAGCCTTCAGTATGGATTACATCTCAACATCAAGAAAACAGAAGTTCACAGCCAACATTATAGATGGGAAAAGGATTGGAACAGTCAATGATTTCATCTTCCTTGAGTCTACCATCAACACCATTGGTGCCAGTGGTCAAGAAATCAGGAAATGTATTGCACTGGGAAAATCTGCTGTCAGAGACCTCTCCAAAATGCTGAAAAGCCATGATGTCAGTTTGAAGACTAAGTTCACCTGATTGAGCCCATGATCTTCTCGATCACTTGCTGTGTACCAGAGAGCTGGACAGTGAATAAGGATAATGGAAGGAACGGTGATGCCTTTGAATTGTGGTGCTGGAGAAGAGTACTGAGAACTCATTAGACTGCCAAAAGAACAAACAAATACATCTTTGCAAAAAAAAAAAAGTGCAGCAGAGTGCTTCTTGAAGCCAAAGATGGCAAAGTTTCATCTTTCATACTGTGGACTCTTGGCCAGAAGAGGCTATTCTTTGGAAAGTGATGTCATGCTTGGAAAGATGGAGGGTCAGCGAAGGAAAGCAAGACTCCCAATGAGATGAGCTGACACGGTGACTTCAGCAATGGGCTCAAGTGCGTTGGAGATGGTGAGGATGGCAAAGGGTAGAGCAGGGCTCAGGTTAGCTGTTTGTAAGCTCGCTATTAGCTGTACTCGACTTGATGGCACCTGATAACAACAGGAGGCATGTAGAAGTGAAAAATCACAGGAGAAGGCACCTAGGTACCACCTTCAAGAGAGGATTTTCAAAGAAGGCATTCCTTGCTGGTAAACTGGCAGTGGCATGGGGGGAGGGGACAAGAATACCAGACACAGCCAGGGTGGAAGGTGGTGAGAGAAAACAGTGGGGTGGGGCGGAACGGGCTGGTCTGAGGATGAGTCAGCAACCAGTGGTTTTCAGATGTGCTGGGGAGATTTTTAAAATACCAGTGACTGAGTTTCATCCTAGTAAACACTGAAACCTGACACGGGGATTTTTCAGACCTCCCCAGTGGATTCTAATAGCGCAGCCAATGGGTAGTTGAGGCTGTTTCAGTTTCCTTATTGGTGTCTCAATGGCGTATACCAAGGAGAGGATGTCACCTGTAGTTCAAAAGCTTTTTAGGAGGTAAAGCACATCTGCTGGATTTACAGCAGAAGCCCCTTAAACACTTGAAGGCATTGATGACCAGCCCTCCAGAGAAGCTTGACTTCTCCTCCCTTCGGCCCCAGACGGCTCCAGCTGTGGTTGATGAATCAAAAATGGCAGAGCCAGAATGGTCATTACAGGTTGTTGAGGACAGGCTCCTTGATAATGCCTCTTCCCTTACTTATACCCACCCGGCAACCAGAAATGACTCTGTGGTACCCAAATTCCTTCCCTCAGCTGTTGATCAGTAATCATAGGACCTCTGCACCCTCTCCCCTCACTTAGCCCCAGTCTTGAACAGAGCACCAGGTATGTCCATTAACTGTTCCATTAACTTCTCACAAAGGGGAGAGAGAATCAGTCTAAACTAAGAGCCCGGGGCTACATATACAATAAGCAAACATTTGAACCTCTCTGAGCCTGACCTCCCACCTGCCCTGCAGGTCACCTTCATGCTGCTTGACCAGAACAACCGTGAACACGCCATTGACGCCTTCCGACCTGATCTGAGTTCAGCGTCCTTCCAGCGGCCCCAGAGTGAAACCAATGTGGCCAGTGGTTGCCCGCTCTTCTTCCCTCTTAGCAAGTTGCAGTCTCCCAAACACGCCTATGTGAAGGATGACACCATGTTCCTCAAGTGTATTGTGGAGACCAGTGCTTAGGTTGTGAGGAAGATAATCAAGCCATGCCTGGCTCCTGAGGGAGCACAAGCTAGGACAGGGACGTTAGGAGGGTAACTGTCGGGTCCTGCCCCTCCTGTCTAGGATCCAAAGTCACAAGGATGAACTGAGGTTAGTGTAATCTGGGAAGACTGATGCTTGGATTAAGTAGCCACCAGAAAAAGACCCTACACTGGTCTCACAAAAGCAAAAGGTCCAGAAGGAATTAGTAGCAGAATTGCTTTGCTCTGCTCTGACCGTTCCACACTGGAAGAGCTGGGAGCTCCTCTGGCCTAAGCATTGAAAATGGACTTAAACCAAGGTGGAGAGAGATCACGGCCATGGATGATGGTGAGCCAGAGGTTCAGGAAGGACCTGAGCAGAGACCCTTAGGCAGGAAAGGGACCTCGTCAGGGCCACCATGGAGAAGTAGAAGCACACATGTTCCTGCCTGAGAACAGAATTAGGGCCACACGGTGGAAGGAGCTAGGTTGGCACTGTGCATACAGTCTATCAGTTTTATAAAGACCTTCTCATCACTGGGGATGATCAAAGAAACCCTTGGAGTATGGGACAGCAAATTGGGAGCTGAACTGGAGAATCTGAATGGTCACTTTCAGCCTTGAAAGTCTCCAGTTCAAGAACTCTTGGCCCAATTGTGGCCTGTGGCTGCAGGAGATCTGGAAACATTCAGAAGTTTCATACCCTCCTGGCTCCTCACTCAACTTGAGCCCCACCAGCAAGGTCTAGCTGGCCGGCACAGCACCTGCCAGCCTGGGCCTGGCAGCTCAGTTCCCCTACATGCCAGAAGACACAGCCCCTGTTGTCCTATCCCTCTGCCAGTCCATGCCCCTTCATTTCATCCAGGGGAAACCAGGTCACTGTGAGCACCCAGGAGCAGCCAGAAGGAATGTAGAGAAGACTGTAAACCCTCCACTCTTCACAGCTGGAAGCCCCCCACCTTTGGTGCTTTCTAAAATGTCATGTCGCTTAACTAAGGTATTAAGTTCCCTTCATTGACTGATCAGGGCCTCTGAGCCACTGAACAGGAGTGGTCTTTTTAAATACATATTGAACCACGGAATCTTTAAAAATAAATTTTTTAAAAAGTTTCCATATAAGAACTGCTTGTGGGAGTCCACCCTAATCGAGTCGTTCTTGAAAAGCCCATAGTTCTAAGTGATGCACTGGGTTTAGTTGATGGCACCAGTGGTTCTGTGCTGCCAGGAGCACTCCCCGACCTCATCGTTCCCCTTTCCATAATGAGCAGCCTCCCTACCTTGCCTGCCTCACTAGCTTGTGAACTTCAAATAAAAGGAGTGAGAGGAAAGAGAAAAGCCTTCCAGGAGCTAACTGTGACTTGCTTGTTTGCACCTGGAGGCTCCACACAACTGCTCATGACTTTGAGAGGCCCCCAACTCACTACCAGCCTTCCACATAATTTACTCTTACTGCACTTAATGGAGTTGCCGTAGACTTCACCCCTCAGAATACTAGGGTTTTATCTCAAATTTGTTCTTTTTCAAGAATCCATGAGGATCAAGGGGGTAAGAGAACAGCATGGCTCAGTGGACTTAATATATCAGAAAACCCAAATCCAAACACAATTCCGCACATGGCACTAAGCCATCCTTCAGCCTCATTTGAAAATAGATTCATCCTAGCTAGCTCTGCTCTACTCGCAGAGACTTCATGAAGCCCCAGCAATAATGGAGTGCAAGTTCTTTGTACATACAAGTTCTTGCCATGAGTGACAAGCAGCAACTACACTAGGATTTACATTCCTTTCTTCACAGCTGCTAAGTGTTGGCAGTGGAAATAGATTTGCTTTCCCTCAAATAAAAAAAGGAGTAAAGGTCCCTCCTCACAAATTATGGGTACTTGTGCCACACACTGAGCTGAAGTACTTTGTGGACAGTCTTCTACCAGGGACTACTTTTAGTCTTTATATTTAGCTGCTTGTTTCTTCTGAGCAGAGATGTACATTTTCTCAAAACTGTGAGGCACAGCCACTTTTTCAGCACAGTTTAATTGACACTACATGTGCCATCTGCTGTGCTGGACACTACAGGTAGAGAGGTAAGATGTGTTTCCTGCCCTTGAGAAAATTCAGTGGAAGAAACATACTCAAGTAAATCATTCTGGTGAGTAAAAAAAACTCTTAGAAACTACAGCTCCCAGGTCATTGAGTGAAGCAAGGAGGGCTCTGTGGAAGAAGTAATGTTGAGATCAGCTTTAAAATACAGCTTTGGAATATAGAAGTTAGATATTTGAGAGTAAAAATCTGAGTGTGGACAACAGTTGTAGCAAAAGATGAGGTCTATGAATCAGAGGGATAGCCCCAGGGGGAAGCAACAGTGCCGAGCCCAATAACGCTCTGGGAGGATGAAGAGAGGGCAGAATGGTAGGTTATGGGAGACCTTGTCCCCAGACAACCGTAAGAAGTAGGGACAGTTATTAGTTATGCCTGTAGTTGCTCATTTCTGATTGGAATGAACACATACTCATTATAGAAAATTTGGTAAGCTGGAAAAAGGAATAAACAAAATTTTCAAATCACCTGTATGTCCAGTGTCCTGCAATAATTACACCCACTCCTCACTTACTGACATGGTTAAGTTCCAAAGAGCAGGTCATTATGTGGAAGTCAGTGTTGTGTGAAATTGAGGAATGATAGAATTCTGCACAGTCAAGGATTTATTCATAGCAAATACCTTTTATAAGAAACATAAATGCAGGTTATACACATGGATTTCACCAGATAGGATGCACAGGAATCAGACTGATTACATCTGTGGAAGGAACTGTTGGAGAAGTTCTATATCAGCAGTGAAAACTAGGCCAGGTGCTAATTGTAGAACAAACCATTAACTGCTCATATGTAAGTTCAAATTAAAGCTAAAAAGGTTGAATTATATCCACAAGAATCAAAATTTGACCTGAGTCTATCGCCCATGAATTTAAAAATCAACTCAGTCAAAACAACTATGAGATATCATTTCAACCCAGTAAGAACAGCAACATTTAACAGAACAGCAGACAACAAATGCGGGCAAGGTTGCAGAGAAACTGGAACCCTTATTCACTCTTGGTGGGACTGTAAAATGGTACAACCACTATGGAAGGCAGTATGGCGTGTTCTCAACAAGTTGGAAATAGAAATACCATCTGACCTAGCAATTTCACTACTAGGAATATACCCTGAAGAAACCAGAATTGCCACTCAAGCAGATATATGCACACCCATGTTTATCATGGCTTTGTTCACAATAGCAAAGAGCTGGAAACAACCCAAGTGCCCATCAGCAAACAAATGGATAGAGAAGCTGTGGTATATACACACAATGAAATACTGTGTTGCATTGAAAAATAAGGAACTCATGAAATATTTTACAAAATGGGTGACCCTGGGGGACATTATGCTGAGTAAAATATCTCAGCCACAAAAAAGGCAAATACTGCATAATGCCACTGTTGTAAAGCAGAAGTGACATCAATGTTGAGGGGGAAACTAAGAAAAGAGGGGATAAATAATGTATACTGCATTGAAACAGATGAGGGAGAGAACTGTTTAAACTGTCTAAAACTGTTATATGATTAGGTATTATT